TGTCTTGATACTAGCATTCATGATTGGTTTGTTAGCTACAGGATAAAGAGACTCTGATTTCAAGGAGAAAAAGGATAATTACTTGATCATTTCGCCCCTCAAACACCTGTTTAAAATATAATTGTCACCTTGAACTTAAAATGTTCCTTGCCTTCTCTACTCCTCCCTGCCCTTAAAAAAAATACAGGAAAAAAGGAAGCCTTAGGAATAAAGAAATACATGCAACCTTGGTAGTCAATGAGTTAATATTCATTTGCAGCCCGAGGGGTCAGCAATGCAGTCTCTGCTTGCTGATTGGCTGCTAAAAGGTGAAATTGAAACCGCTGTAAACTTTTGACCCTGTAGCAATTCTTGTGGAACGCGGCCTTCCCCTGGTGGAGCCCAGAGCTTTCCTCACCTCCCCACCCAACCCTCCCGTCCTCCTTCCTGTATTTTGTGAGTGAGATTGTGCAGCACTGCATGCAGTTTATTAAAGAGATGAGGAAGAGGGAGACAGAACAAGCACCAGCAAGCTGCTTGCTGGCTGCCTGTTTGGTAATTGAGTCTTTACTAATTTAACTCAGACATAGAGCCTGTTAATAAACTGGTCTGTCAACTGGATTTTTTAGTTTTCTCCTTAAAGTAATTAAAAAATGCAGAATTGTTTAATGCTGTCAATAGTGGGTATTATCACGAAAGCAAAATGTGTGGCATAATTTCCTAGATATGTTGAGTTAAAAATAGTTTCCACTTGCAGCTACCCTCCTTGTTTTGTATATTACATGTAATTTTTACATAAATGGCCAGCATTTTATAATTTTATTTTCCTCCTTTGGATTTTATCACAAAGAAACTCAAATGGCATTTTGGTTATGTTAACTCTGGGAATAAGTGGAGAAATTGCACATTTTGATTTCATTAATTTTAAATTTTTTTGAGATAAATGGTTTTGGATTAATTTTACTTTCTATGAAAAAGGCCAGATTTTCTTTATCCTTTTCTCTAATACAGTAGTGTTGTAGGACCCTGTTTTTTGCTTTTGGTTCCTTTTATCCTTTGGCTATAGTTCATTTGGTGTTACTGATTCTCAACAAATGCTTACTCTGTGAACATTGTTTTCAGGAACAGTAGGGGCTGTTTATATCTGTTCTTTCTTAATTAATAGCAGGAACCAAACATAAGTTGCTTCTGTTTCCGAGTGTGAGTGAAATGCCTGGCATCTAGTAAATTAAATGACTTGTACAAGGTTACCTCAAGAAGCTCAACTTTATAACCATAGGTTTTCTGCCAGGTGTGGTGGTGTACACCTGTAATCCCAGTGCTCAGGAGGCTGAGGCAGGAGGATCGCAGTGAGTTCAGGCCAACCTGGGTACTTAGTGAGACCTTGTCTCAAAAACAAAAAACAAACAATAACCTAGGTTTTCTGAGGCCATGGCTTCTGTTTTCATTAATCATTTATAGATTTTCAGGTTGACTCCATTGAGAATTAAGCAGATGTTATAATTTATTAAACGATCATGTTAAATAAATTGTAAGTCAGCTTGATTATAGTATTCAGGATAAGTGGTATCAGTTTTTAAAATGTCCTTATTTTTCTAGGCATGGTTGCATTGTAATAATTTCTATCAAAAATATTATAGTATTTTTATTTTTTATTTTTAGGTACTGGGGATCAAACTCGGGACCTCGCGCTTGTGAGGCAGGCGGCAGCACCACTGAGCTAAATCCTCGGCCCATATTATAGCATTTTTAAATGTTTGTAGAACTGGGGGTGGTGGCACCTGCCTGTACACTTGAGAGGCTGAGGCAAGAGCATTGGGAGTTGGAGGCCAGCCTGGGCTAGATACTAAGTGGAAGGCTGGCCTAGACTACATAGCAAGACCCTGACTCAAAAACCAAACAACCAAGCTTTGTAATCAGTACTTGCCATGTTCTCCTGGCTAGCAAATAAGTTCTAAATTATTTGAACATGCGTTAGTGGACTATGAAATAGTTAAAAAAGGTTTTACTGAGTTTTAGTGCATATGCCTCAAAAAAGTGGCATCTTACAATTTTAAATTTTCCTATGATTTAAAATTCACACCTTGTTTATTCTTTCCCTCATAGAATAGCTTCAGATTGGTTGCAGTTGATTATTATTGCAAGTGAAATTGTTGTGATTTCAACAAAGGATATTTACCACTTGATAAATGATATCAACTGTGAAAGGACAGTATATTTACCAGATCTTTTGCAGCTTTTAGGTAACCTGAACATTAATTGGTGAACCAACTTGTTCTGTAGTGCTTTGAAGATTGGTGGGCAGTAGCTGTTTCCATAAAGACAGTAGCCCCCCCGTCTATGGATATTAGGAAATGAGAAGGGAGTCTGAACAATGCCATCAGCTACATAGAACGAACAGGGTGTAGTGTGAGTAGTGGAGTACATGCCCTCTGCCTCATCTGTGTTCAACAGGAATGGAAAACTTAGTGGATTTTTTTTGAGGGGGTCCTGTTGGCATTTCCAAACATCAGCATTTTATAGTTGGGATATTCCTCTGTAAACTTCCCTCCCCGTTTGAAACTTTGTTCTGTCTTCATGGTACATCTCAGAATAACTATTATATAGGTCAGCTTGCCCTGCTCCTGTTAGCTCTGCGGATGCAGGTTTTGGTGATGTAGGTCTCATCAGTCACCTGTTAGAGCTAGGTTCCCCTCATACCTTCTCAAGTACCTAATATTTTAGAAAGTGTCAAATTTAGTTTTTATGTCAATGTAATTTGGTTCTTTTATGTATGACTGACTAAAGTCCAAATTATGAAAAAGGGGTAAGAATAATTTTTGGTTAAAGGTACAAAAACATCCTAAGAAATCTGGGGTTGTCACCTTTGCCAAGTCTTTGTTCTAGACAAGCTTAACTTCACCAGCAGTTTTCCAACAATTCCATACTTTATATAGTAGTAGTTCTTAAACTGTCCACCCCTCCCAGGTTCCTCGTAGATAAATGGGTTATTGATGTATGAGTATTTAGGAATCTCTGTAGTTAAGGTGTATACTTCCTGAGAGGGGAGAATTTTATAGATGCTGTGTCTTTGGTTTGGGGATGCAGATTCGCAGGGTCAGGAATCTTTTGAGAAAGAATATGAAACCAGCTGTATGATACTTCAGTATAAACCTAGATGCTCTCTCACTAACCTTCCACACTAGGCCACAGTATTTGTTGGGTCATTTGTTACAATCCTAGTTACTTTCTGGCTTAATTCTTTTCTGTATCCCATGTCTCTTGTTCCTTAGGTGCTACTTGCTCCACAATCCTTCTTTCTCCCCACCTAAAAAAGAGAACAACAACAACAGAATCATTTCTGAAGTGAAACCTGGTTTAAAACCAGGCCCCAAACATCTTAGTGGCAGGTATGGTGGCACACACCTGTAATCCCAGAACTTAGGAGGATGAGGCAGGAGGATCACTCTGAGTTCCAGGCCAGCCTGGGCTACATAGTGATTTCAAGCAGCCTGAACTAAACAGTGAGACTGTGTCTCAAACAAAACAAAACAAAACCCTTAGAAATTCTTTCCAGAAGTTTTTCCCTTTTTGTTTCTTTTAGAAGTTTTTTCTACCTCTTCCCCCATCTTCCTGATCTTCTTCTAATTAATTAAGACAGGCTAGAAATTCAACTTCAAAAACATTGAACTCATTTAAAAGCAAAAACTAATGATTGTGTTTTAAAATTTTTGTTTGTGTGCTTGGATATTCTTATGTGTCAGATAGTCTTTTGTGTATTTGGTAATTGCTTATTTTATGTGCTAGGTACTAATAAGTAATTTATATATTTTCATTTAAGCCTCATAAGAGCCTTATAAAATGTTATACCTTTGTGCCCTTTCCCCCCCAATTAAAAAAATTAAAGCGTTGAAGTTGTAAATTGATTGAGGTTGCCCAGATAGTTTGGAGTTGAGACTCCATCTGGCTGACTCCAAAGGTTGTACTCTTTAACTGTTATTGTAACAGCTAGTTGTATTGTTGCATATGATGTGTTCCTTCCTTTACCCTCTTTATTTTTGGACCTCAAAAGTGTAACAACCATCCAAACCATGTAGCTAGATTGTAGTTGACAGTCCCCTGTGTGGATTGAACATGTTATAATGTTTGTTACTTGGAATTTATGAATGTATCATTTTTTTTTCCTGACCCCTATCCCAACAGAACTGTCAGTTCTAGCATGAATGCTTATTAGCTTTAGACCATGTGGTGATTGTAGTTGTCTTGATACAGATGGTACTAGAAAATGGCATTGAGATTGTTGGCTTTATTGTTATATTTGGAAATTCATAAGGAGAGGTGAGATTTTCTTTTGGACTCACTTCTTTGTCACACTAGAAACTGCTCCCCTTTTCTTTCTGTTCAAAAGCCTGCTGTTTGTATACTCATGTATTGTGTATTTTGAATAATTGCTCCCAATTTCACCATTATCCTTCATTTTGGTGACCAAGATGTATCCTCTTACATAGTGCAAGAAAACATCTGTAGCATTTTCCCACTTGCATGTTTGCTTTATTTCTCCCTCCATCTCTTCATTCATATGGTGGATATTGATTTCTCTTTTTTTGGGTCTGGAGTATTAAATATTAGCTTCTACCAGGGTATTAGTGTCTTTGATTGTTCCCTGAGCATTCAGTTTGGACCTGTGAGAACATCTCCAAGTTTAGAGTGCCCATCTGTTTTGATTACTTTTTATGCCTTGGAGCAGTGTCTTCCACCCCATTTGGCATTATCCAAGTTTACAAACTGTTTATATTGTGTATGCCATTCCTGACCTCTTTTTAAGCAGCAATATTGAGGTATGGCAAAGTAAGGCATTCACTCACATTCGTAGGAAGAGGCATTTTGCTTGACAGGTTTGATTTTGTTTTCTGTGTTCAGGGAATGGAGAGATGGGAACAGTTACTTTGTATTTGACTGATACTAATGGCTGTATGACCAAAGGACAATGACATTCAACTGCCCTCGTGTTTTTTTTGTTTTTGTTTTGTTTTTGTCTTCAGGATCAAAATACTTGCTAAACAGTGGACTCAGAGACTGTTAAAAACAAACTCTACTTGAACATCATTTTACTGGTTAACCAGGTAATTAATTCAGTTTTACTTTGACTTAATCCCTTGTAATTTTTTGACTTCAGCCTTCAGAAAATACTACCTGCTTCTTTAATTTATGATTTTATTTAAACTTGTTTAAGTTGAGTGAATGTAATTGGAATATTTGGCAAAGACATAGGTCTATAATTGCACATCTGCATGTAGATTCATAAACACAATTTTTAAGGGGAAGAGAGGAAATCTCCCACGTGTGGATATTTGAAGGGCATTTAGTCAAAATGTGAATCAGTATAAGCTCATAGTTACTATTTGACGTGTGAAGACTAATTCTCCCGTATTACTGGTGCTGGCAAATAACATTTCACCTAACCCCTTTCTTAGCTTTTTGCGTCAGAGTAGGAAAAATAAAAAGTTGTCTGATAGCGGAGATAGCAGTTTTGCTTTGCCTAGCTAGTTAAATTTCTTTTTATTAATACTATCATTTTCTTGATTAGCTAGTTTGGAAATCTTTGTCTTCTTTGAATTCCACCCCTTTTTGATGATACATTTAGTGAACAGGCATTATCTGGTTTGCTGTTTTCCTGTCTTTTGCATTTGTTCTACTTTCTGTTTCTAATTTTAGCTTCTTCTAGGTCAAGACCCCATAATCATGCATGTTTTCGTCCATGTCCCTTTACTGCTTCCTTATCTATTGTTTCTGCCCACTTGTAATTTTGCTAGAAGTTTTCTTAAATATATCCTTTTCTCTGGTTTACAAAATGTAATAAAACAGAACAGTATGGGGCCAGGGGTTTAAGTTCAGTGGTAGAGTGCTTGCTGAGCACATATTAGGCCCTGGTTTTTTTGTTCGTTTGTTTTTGGCCCTGGTTTTGATCCCCAGCACAGAATAGGGGTCTGAGAGTTGTGGAGGTAAGTTACAAAGTCCCTTCTTTGACATTTGAAGTGGTTCTTTATTTGGAAATTTGTCTAAGTCACTAGCCTTAGTTTTTGCAGTTTCCCTTCAAAATCTCTTAATTCCTTAAGGTACGTACCCATTCTGTCCTGATGTTTTGAATGTAGCAGAGAACTACCTTGATAGGTTTTTTGAGGCAGGGTCTCCCTTTGTAGTTCACGCTGGCCCTGAACTCATTACGTAGCCCAAGCTAGCCTTGAACTTGCAGCAATTCTCCTGCCTCAGCACCTCGAGTGCTGGGATTACAGGTGTGTGCCACCACACCGGCTCTTGATTGTTTTTTATTAGGGAAAAAACTTTGTTTGGAATTAAATTTTTATTTACAAAAAAATATAAACAACATCTAGATATCCTCTGCTCATACTCACTGTGCCACTTGATTCATGAGCTTCTATTCTTTTGGTTTCTCCCTTTCTCTCCCTCCAATCCTCCCTCTCTTTCTCCTCTCCCCCTCCTTTTTCTTTTGTTACCAGGGATGGAATTCTGGTCCTTGTGCTTTCGAAACGGGTGGGAACCACTGAGCTAAATCACCAGCCCTCACAGGGCCTTTGTACTGAGCTACATCCCCAGTCCCTTTTTATTTTTTATTTTGTGATAGGGTCTTGCTAAATTGCCCAGGCTGGGCTTGAATTTATGATCTCCCTGTCTCCATCTTCCAGAGTGCTGGGATTACAGGTGTGTAGCACCAGGCCTGGCTATGTATACTTTTCTGAACAATTTGAGCATAAGTTATACATTCTGTGCTTCTTTCTCCTAGAACTTCTGTTTTTAAAGAACAGGGTATTTATATAACTATTGTACAATTAAGAATTTCATAATGGACATTGACATAAAACTGTTGTCCATATTCTATCTTATTACTTGACCTGATAAAGTCTCTGAGTTTCATGTACTTCCTGTATGGAATTCCAGTCTGAGATCAGGTACTACATTTAGTTATTATTTCTCTTTAAGATTCTTTTTTCCTGGAATATTTCCACCACCTTTCATTTTTAGTTTTGAGATAGGGTCTTGCTTTGAAGCTCAGGCTGGCCTCATACTCATACAGTGTTCCTCCTGCCTCATCCAGTATGTGTCACCACTTCTGGCCTCTACCACCTTTCTTTAGCTTTTATGATAAGGATAATTTTGGCTCCTCCCAGCCACAGGAACATAGGGCTATGTATCCCCTCTTCTCCTTCCTGGCAGAATGAGATGAGATGGAGATTACGTACTCTTGGCTGGAATACTGCCTAGGTGACATGATATCCTGAAAACAACACAGAGATTCTGGAGGTGTATGGTATCCACTGGCCCCTCCCTGTGATGTTAATTTCGATCACTTGGCTAAAGGTATTGCCAGATTTCTTCAGTGTTGTACTCTGCTATGGTTTGTGTCTAGATGCCCCCCCCCCCCCCCCCATGTGGTCATAGGCTGTTTTGGAGGTAGCTGAACCTAGAGTGTGTGATTGATTCTTGGTGAGGCTCGGCCTGAGGGCACTAGGATTAAAGGCGTGAGTGCTACCCACCCTAAGTAGTCTGAATAAGATAAAAGGGGCAGAAAGAGGCTGTTAGGTTCCCTTGTTGCCTTTGGTACCTTCTGTGAGCCATATTGATTCTTCTTTGTGATGTCTGCTTGCCATCCCTGCCTTGGAGCCAGCCAATTATGGACTGAAACCCCTACGAACTGTTATGAACTATTATAAGCCAAATAAACCCTTACCCCGTTAACTTTTGGTGTTGGGTATTTTATCTCGGCAAGGAGAGAAAAGTAACTAATACACACTCCCATCCCTCATAAGCAGTAAGCAGCATGTGGGGAGATAATACAGATATTGTTAAAGTCCTCATGGAAATGTATTCCTTATGGTTCTTGTCTGCAAACACACCCTCCCTTGTAATAGTTACAAAAAGGTCAGTCTCCTTATTGCTCCCCTCATCTTGACCCTTTTAGTTTAGGGTTTTTTGTTTTTGTTTCATGGTACTGGAGATTGAATCCAGAGCCTCATACAAACTAGACAAGAACAGTACCACTTAGTTACACAGCCAGCCCTCATTTTGACCTTTTCAATAGATAAAGCTGGGAAGTAAACGTGTGTGTATAATGCATATATATATATATATATATATAAAATCATGAATTTATCCTCATGTCTATATGGTTCTTTGTATCTGAATATTCTGAGTGTCTTTTTTTTTTTTTTGGTACCAGGGATTGAACTCGGGACCTTGTGCTTGCAAGACAGGCATTGGAACCACTGAGCTAAATCCCTGGCCCGAGAATTTTGGTTTTTAAAATTATCAGTATGTTTATTCAGTTCTATAATACATCTAAGGTTATTTTAGAATTGTGTTGCCCATTTAACTAATAAAAAGACTTAAAATGAATGGAGGGCTGGGGGTTTAGCTCAGTGGTTTCACCACTTGACTTGCAAGTGCAAGGTCCTGAGTTTGATCCCTAGTACCAAAAAAAAAAAAGACTTAAAATGATTGGAGAATTTGTTAACAGCCCTCTTCCTAGTTCTGCCCAAGAAGAGAGTGAATATTTTAAATTAGCTATTAAATTACTTGGATTGGATTGCTTTTTCCTTCTTCCTTTCTTCTGTTTTCTCCTCTTTCTCTTCTACATTTTTGCTTCCCACATTACTTTACATATAATCTTTTTTTTTTTTTTTTTTGGTACCAGGGATCGAACTTGTGTCCTCCTGCTTGCGAGGCAGGCGGTAGAACCACTGAGCTAAATCCCTGGCCCACTTTATATATAATCTAATTATTATTATTTTTGGTACTGGGGATTGAACTCGGGACCTTGTGGTTGTGAGGAAGGCAGCGGAACCACTGAGCTAAATCCCTGGCTCTTAATCTAATTATTAATAGGAATTATAATTAGGTTTGTTTGTGTGTTTATTTAGTGGTACTAGATGTTGAACCTAAAGCCTTTCACATGCTAAGCAAGTATTCTAGAACTAAGCTACATATCCAACTCCTTTAAAGTATTATTTTGAGACAGGGTTTTGCTGAGTTGCCAGACTGGCCTCCAACTTGAAATCTTCTGCCAAGCTGGGGTGATGGCACATGTCCATAATCCCAGCATTTGAGAGGCTGAGGCAGGAGGATTGCTATGAATTTGAGGCCACCCTGGGTACGTTGTGAGTTCAAGGTCAACATGGAACTTTTTTTGGGCGGGGGGTACCAGGGATCAAACTCAGGACCTTGTGCTTGTGAGGCAGACATGGCACCACTGAGCTAAATCCTTGGCTCCCCAATGTGAATTTTGTAGTGAGATGCTACCCTGTCTCAAAAAAATTCCTCCTGCCTTGTCCTCCCAGGTAACTGGAATTATAGGTGTGAGCTACCATGCCTGGCTGTGTTTGCTTACTTGCTTGATTTTTTGAAGGTTTTATGTTCCTCCCTATTTTGATTGATTTTAATTTTGGAATATGTAAAATATTAGTATGCTTTCAAAAGTCAAAACCAGGGCTGAGGGTGCAGGTCAGTGATAGAGTGCTTGCCTAGCATGTGTAAGGCCTTGGGGTTCAATCCCCAGCCCTACAAAAAACCAGAACAAAAGTCAGAACCATTACACAGAGTATAAATTCCCCTTTCTACCCATTCCACAACATTTTCTCTCGTTTTTTGTCATAAATAATTTTTTCTGGCTTATACTGTTTTTATCCTGTTTCTTTTTTGATAAGCAGATTAGTGTTTGTTTCATTTTTGTTTACACAAAAGACAATCTACTATACTCTTGGACTCCCCCCCTTACTGAAGTATCTTGGAAATAATGCCACTTCCTGTCAAATCTTTCACATTTTAAGGGGATAAAATTTACCATTTTTTTTTTTTTTTTTTTTGTACTGGGGATCGAACTCCGGACCTTGTGTTTGCGAGGCAGGCGACGGAACCACTGAGCTAAATCCCCAGCCCTACCATTTTTAATTGTTTAGTTCTACAGCGTTCAATACATTTGCATTGTTGTGGAGCCATCAACATCTGTCTCTAGAACATTTTATCTTCCCAAGCTGAAATGCTGAACCTATTAAATACACCTCATTTTCTTACCCCACCTCATGTTAATTTGTATATAAATGCATAGATT